ACTTCCTCAGCCTGTGCCAAGGTCTGCACTGGCCCCTGCAGCCACTGAACAGCAGAGTCACAAATCGCCCCTCCCCTCTCTCCTTTCGCCGGTACAGGGGTGAATCTGGCCCATGCAGCCAACCTTCCCCTGCTTCAATTCCCACATGGATAAAATGAATTTATTAGTATTCCTATTTCTGCCTATGGAGGACGAGGGCCCCTTCATGCTGCTCGCTGTAGAGACACTGAGTAAACAGACCCAACAGCTCACAATTAGAGCCAGGATTTCAGAAACTCTCAACATCCCGTTAGTGTCAAAGGGACCCAAGTGGGTAAAGTTACTTTTATGCCAAAGACTTTGCAGGCTCTGGGTCTAGGTAACAACAAAAGGCAGCAAATGAATGAGACAAGCCAACCAGGGTCTGGAGGGTGGGAGGGGATGATGAGGGAAAAGTAAATCTCACTTACATATTGTGTGTCTTGGGATAGTTGTGAGGCTGCAAGGATGCTGGTTCCATTGCTGAGAGATGCCTGATTGAGAGGGGAAATAGGTTTCAGACCTTTTTATATTAAATACGTGAGTGTGTCTCTGGGCCTCTCTGTCTGTTTCTCTGTCATAGTTATAAAACAGTTTCAGAGTGGGGACACTGTTATAAATATGAAAGTCTGAAATCTCACCTCTCTTATCATTTCTGCCTCCAGACACTCTGCCGTCTGAATTGGAGAGAAAAAGGGGAGAATCATTTGGAGCACACAGACAGGGTGAGTTTGCAGGTGAAGATTGCCTTTAAATTATGAGAAAATTCCAGTGAAAACATTTCATGACATTGTAGCTAAAGTTACCAACCAAACTGACAGCGACCATGACACACACAGCCCTAAAAATAACACATTAAACAGTAAGGAGATCCAGGGACCCATGTCCCCCCAACACACACACTTTTAAAAGTGGGATGACCAGGACACTTTTTAACATGGGCATAGTTTGGGGGCAGGGGGCCACATTGCCCCCCACACACTGCAAGCCATGGGTAGGTGTGAAGCATCACTGGCAGTGTCTGTGTTTCGGTTAGGTCAGCTGATCAGCTCCTCTCTGTGTAGCGCAGGCCGTGCCTGTGGCATCAAACTCTTCCTGGTGCTGGCCTCTCTCAGTGGCCCCACCCCAGCTCCTCGTTGCCCCCCCCACACGCACACTGCAAGTCTCAGGTAGGCATGGAGCGTCGCAAGCAAGCAGTGGCTCTGCTTTGGATGGCGCAACTGATCAGCTCCTCCCTCTTCGCAGCCCTGGCCCCTCTCAGTGGCCCCACCCCTGCTCCTCTTTCCCTGTGGCCCTGGCCAGGCCAGAAGCCAGAGCCGGGGTGCCACCCAGGGAGCCCAGGCTGCACTGGGGAGCTCTGGACCCTCCACCTGCCCAGGGTGGCATACCCCAGGGATCGGGGACATGGGCCGGCAGCTGCTCTCAGAGCCCCCCAGACCCATGTCCAGAGTAGGTGGAGTGTCAGGGGCTCTCCATAACAGGCAAATCTCCAAGCCTGGCCGGGAAGCAGGGCCTTGGTCAGGGCCAGAGAAGGGGCGGGGCCACACAAAAAGTCCTGACATCAACTTTAGTGCTGAGTTCATGTCCATTCTGATGAACAGAAACATTCTTAACTGAGTCGCACCTGAACAGAGCTCTCTGACACATTCCTCTGCTTTACCCCGGTGCAGGGAGTCTCCCCATCGCTCTTCTCCAACATCCTGCCTTTAGGACTGGGCTCTCCCATTGGAGCAGCTCACTGCTTCCTGGATTGGGGAGATGCTCTTCCTGTGATGCCAGCAGCTACTCCCTTCTCTCTGGGCTGGGGATGGGACTACCCCACCCAATGCCACCTCCTACTCTCTGGTCTTAAGTGGCTCTTCCCCATTGCTGCACCTTCCTCTCTGTTCCCTGGCCTGGGAGTGGCGGCTGCATTAGGGGAGGGAGCTTCCCCCTGGGGTTTAAAGCTGGTACCTGCCACTTCTGCTCCCTCAATAAAAGCTTCTGACACCTTCCTGGCTGTGTCTCTACCACTGGGAATGGGGCAGCATCAGTAGCGGGATCTGGGAGTTGAAGCCTCTGTGATAAATGGGAAACTAATGAAGTGGGACCCGTTACAAACACTGCGGAGCTGCTGTGACATCTCTGCTCAGACTTAGGTGCCGAGCACAGAGGCAGCTCCCTGGGATCCAGGCCTGTTCCAGCCAGAATCGTGCTGCTGGGGAGTGTGAGAAATGGTTCCAGCCTCCCGCAGGGCTGAGATCTGCCCCTAACGCTCTGATTCTCTCTCCCCAGTGAATGTGACTCTGGATCCAGACACGGCTCATCCCCAACTCGTTCTGTCTGAGGATAGGAAAAGTGTGAAATGTGGAAACATACGACAGCGACTGCCCAACAACCCTGAGAGATTTGACACTGAGCCCTGTGTGCTGGGCTGTGAGGGATTCACCTCAGGGAGACACTGCTGGGAGGTGGAGGTGGGGGATGGGGAACTCTGGGCTGTGGGGGTGGCCAGAGGGTCTGTGAGGAGGAAGGGAGGGATCAGCCTTAGCCCTGAGGGGGGGATCTGGGCTGTGGAGTGGTGCTGGGGGGGTCAGTTCCGGGCTCTCACCTCCCCTGTGACCCGCCTGCCCCTAAGCCGGTTCCCCAGCAGGATCCGGGTTTGTCTGGACTGTGACCGGGGGCAGGTGACATTTATCGATGCTGGTGACGAGGCCCCGATCTTCACTTTCCCGCCGGGCTCCGTCCCTGGGGAGAGAATCCGACCCTGGATCTGGGTGGGGCTGGGATCTCGGCTCAGACTCTGTCCCTGAGACACTGCAGAGGGGGGAACTGGAAATCAGCCTCTCTACTCTCACACACCCCAGTCTCTATGACCGTGGAGGACTCCCATCTACCCAGCCCCTGGCTCCTCATCTCTATGGCCTCTGGAAGCTCCTCCCCCTCCCTCTCTGCAGCCCTGGGACTGCAGGAGGAGCAGAAGGGCCCTAAGGGGTAGATGTGGGGGCTGGGCAGGGAGTAGAACTAACAACCAGGCAGGGGACAGGCAGAGGTGGGGCCTGGGGAGGGACAAAGGATGAATGGATCAGGGTTTGGGGGGTTGGGGAGAAGCAGCAGCTGCAGGGAGTGTTTTGTACAGATCTGTGTCCTTAGATCTCATTGGTGTCTCCCCGCCCGGGATCAACAAGAGGGGAAGGGATAAGATCAGGGAAAGAATAGAGCAGCCAAGGGGGATGATCTGTGACAGGGAGGAGAGACACAGGAAAATAAACAGGGATGGGAAGTGAGGGCTAGAACAATAATGAATAGAAAAGGACAGTATGAAAGGAAAGGGAATGTGAGTGGGACGGAGAGATTTATTACGTGTCACTGAAAGTGAGACTGTATCTCATTAATTCATTATATTAATTCCTGGCCATTGGTGCTATTTTATTGCCATAAAGAAAACTGTTCTCAGTAGCTGGGGATCTCCTTGCCATGCTGCAATTATTAAAGCTCCTTCTTAGCTCCTTTTACTTTACTACTTTCCAGCTACTTACTGTAAATAAACCATTACAAACAATTCTTCTTGTTTGTTCCACTTTAATGTTCCAGCTACAGGTGCTGGGGGCAGCATCATGGGATTTGCTTCTGACTGGGTTGTGTCCCCCCAGCTCCCACAGGGAATATTGCGCCTCTAGGAAGAGAGTTTGCATTTTCCAGTGTGATGTGTCACTCTCCAGCCTGTGCTCTGTCTCTGTCCTGTGCACACCCATGTCAATCAGGAATTGCTCAGCTGTGCTCTGCGGAGAGGTGACTGGTTACACAGGGTGTAATCCATGAAGGGACTCGGGTGTTGCAGTGCTGAGCATCACAGTGAGTAATTTTTAGGCAGCGAGAAAATCACAGGAACAGCAGCAGCACTGTGACCCTCACAGCTGAGTCAGGGGCGTAAACTCCCTAGACAGTGCATGATCGACACAGGCACCTTACAATGAGATTCACAAAAGCCACCTCAGTAGGCGGGGAGCCATGTCAGCTAGCCAATGGGAGATGCCGACAAGGGGGGAAGGGGTGTCCTAAACCACACCCCTCTCATGAATAGGTGCCTAAATCTGGGCTGCAGAGGGGTGTGTGTCTCTGCTTAGCAACCCACAAACAGGAACCAACCACCTGACATCCGGGGCCCCCAGTCGCAGCTGCTGCCAGTGCCTGGTAGTGGTGGCAGCAGCTGGGAGCCCCAGGCCCTTTGAAAATGCCCCAGCAGGCTGCAGGGCTCCTAGATGTACGCGCTGGATGGGTGCAGTGGCAAATTAGGGGAAGGAAAAGCCCCAGACCCCGGCAGGAGCCACACTGGGTGGGGTGGGGGGAAAGGAGAAGCCCTGGACCTAAGTTCCCTCTAAGCTATTCCCCTTCCCTGGCCCCCACCACGCCTAGCCCCAACCTGCCCTGGCTGGGGAACAGATGCCTGCAGCCAGGCCGCTGGAGATGCTGCGACCATGATTTTAATACACTGTAATTCATGGTAATGTAATGATGTAGTTCTTCTTTGAGTGATTGCTCCTGTGTATTCCACAGTAGGTGTGCATGCTCCCACATGCACGGGTGCCGGAAGTGTTTCCCTTAGCAGTACCATACTCCAGGTCTGCTGTAGCCCTTCTTCTCGCTC